GTCTAGGGCCCGTTTGGCGTGTCTTTTKGGGAAGATCTTCTGATAGCTCTGACATGCAAAAGACACATTGAGCTTTTGCATGAAAATCTGAGCAGCCCGAAGCACATTTGGCAGATGCATCTGCCTTTTGGTGGCTAGATCTTCCGTGAACCAAATAGGAATAGACCGAAAATCGGTCTTCCCGACTTGTAAACAGCCGAAAGATCGTGCGGAAAGACACGTCAAACAGGCCCTAACCATTGGTTTTTGGGAGATATAGAAAGGCAGGAATAGTAGTTACTTTGGAAATTCATATTTTTCATCCTTTGAATGTAATTAATGTCATGAACAGGTTAACAACGGAGACATCTATGCTCTTGCAACAGAAATTGGGAAATATTCAGCTGAGGGTCACCAAGACCCTCCCTCTCTTTTTGTTGGTGCCCTCCTACTACTGGTTTTGTGAAGATTAATGTTGATGGAGGCTTCCTGGCTCCCAATAAAGCTTCATATGGTATTATTGCTAGAGATTTAGTTAGTTTTTGTTGCTAAGCAGTGAAGGCAGCTAAAAGGAAAAGTCTATCACATGTGGTTTTTGAATCTAATTGTCAGCAGCTAATTTCTTACCTCAACAACTCCTCACATTTTTGTCCCAAAGATCTGGTCTTTCTCAAAGAGGATTTGGTGAACCTATGTGAAGGTCTGGAAGTTAAGTTTCTGTGGTGCTCCCGAAGTGTGAATGCTGCAGCCCATGAGCTAGCAAAATCTAGTTTTTGTTCAGTGTTGTGGTTGGAAGGAGTTTTTCCGGCATGGCTATCGTCCTTTTTTGTCAGTAGCCTGTCTAGTTTAGTTGTTGTTTTTGTTTTTTGATTTACTTTGTAGYAGTTTGCTTTCTATCTCTTTGTTTAGGTTTGCTTTGCTTAGATATATCTTTTTCCTGTTGTAGTCTTGTTGCTATTAGTGCTTTTCAATAAATTTAATTTTTTTTATCAAAAAAATAGAAACAGGAAAGAGGGTATGGAAAAAAGAGAGCCCATGTGACGTGGATTGCTTTGTATATATATATTGTGAGATGTTACCGGTAAGTGTGATTTATTAATGCCAATATAATACTGTTATTATGTGTCAATCATGCTTTTTTATTTTTATTTACATTTTATGATATATTTTTATTTTTATTTTTATTTTAGTAACTTTTTTGTATACATGATGCCCGTGTAGTGCTCAATATGGACACCATTTGCTAGTTACCGGTAGATGAAGGTAGATCCAAACACAAATGAAATATATAATTTTAAATTTGATTTATTAATGTCAAATCTTTAACCTCTCCTTCAAGCAATTCTTTATCTATTCTTTTTTGATCAAATGGAATCATGGTTTTTAAAATCGACCTGGAGACCGAACCGGTTAGGGGTCCGGTTATCAGGTTGAACGGTTATCCCGTTTTGACAAAAAAATAAAAATAAATAAAAAAAATAAAAAAATGGTCAAAACCGTTCGAACGGTTAACCGCTTGGGCCAGTGGTTTGCTACCCAAAATCAATGATTTTTAAGAAATCCCAGATTTGGGGAAAAAGGAAACCGGTCACCTGACCGGTTCCCGGTTTTTCCAATTTGACCGTCCGGTCCAGTTTATTTTTGAAAACCATGAATTGAACCCTATAAAAGCTTTTACTGTTTTGTAGATTCTAATATCTATTGTTCTCCTCTTAGGATCTGTTTTGTTCACAGACAAAATTGGAATCAGCAGAATCACATATTCCTTACAGCTGTTTGGTTCATTCARGACGTAGAATCGAATTCCAGTTGTTGTTGTTTGGTTCATTGGGAGTTGGAATCAGAACCAATTGAAAATTTTCAATTTTGCATTAGTCTATTTATTATTTTATTAATACTTTATGATTATATAATTATTATTTTATTAGTATTTAATAATTAATTTCTTAGTAATTATTATTAATTTATGAATATTTTATTATTATAGTATTACATTAATAATATTTTTATTAATATAATACTTTATTATTTTATTATACTTTATTATTATTTTCTTATTAGTTTATTAATTTATATTATTTTTTATTATTTTAAAATTAAATTATTATTATTTAATAAATAATATATTTACTTTTTATTATTAATTTATTAATATTTTATTATAGTATTATTATTTTATGAATATTTTACTAGTATTTTATTATTATTTTAATTAGTAATGTACTCTTAGTTTATTATTATTATATTATTATTGTGTTTCATAATATTTTATTATTTAATTATTAATGTTTCATTATTACTTTAGTTATATTATATTTATATTTTGTTTACTATTATTATTATTATTATTATTATTATTATCATTATTATTATTATTATATTTAATACTTAATATTTTTACTAATTTATTATTAATACATTTGTTGTTATTATTATTGTTATGTTATTGTTAATTTAATAATATCTTATTATTTTATTAATATTAGGGTTTGGGGGCTGGGCTTTTTGTCATGAGATTTTTACTTCTTGACAATAGGGGTGATCATGGGTTGGGCCCGGGCCCGAGCCGGGCTTTGCACTTATGATAAGGGCTATAGCTTAGGCATAGGCCCGACCCGACTTGGGGTTCTGGGCCTGAAACATTAGCCCTAGCCCATGTCTATACGGGCCCAGGCTTAATTCCGGGCCAATGTCACTCATATATAAAACATTATATATCTATATATTGAATGACATAACATGCATATAAACTTATTTTATACATTATATAATATAAAATATTA